TTGAGGATGTGGAGAAATTGGAGCTCTTGTGCACTGCTAGTGAATATGTAAATGGTGTAGTTACAGTATGGCAGTTCTTCATAAAAATTTAAATGGAACTAGTGTATGATCCAGCAATTCCACTTCTGAGTATATGGGTTTCCCCCACTATCTGAAAATAGACCATTCCTATGAAACCTTTCATAAGCCAAAATGACATAAAACAAAATAACCATTACCATTAATTTATATGGAGAAACTTTTGAGGACTCCCAAATCCCCAAAAATAACCTCTTTAGGCTGTGATACCTTAAGACCCATCTTGCTAATGGATGCACAAAAGAAATCCAGATAAGCACAGATCAAAGCTAGGAAAGCCTGATGCTAGGATGTAGTTCCTGGAGAAAGAGTGTGGTGGGACCACTCTGGCTGCCCCAGGAGCACCACTACTTCTATACCAGCTCACTGCAAAATGAATGCTATTTTCACATTTTGCCTTTCTTTGTAAAAGTAAAAATCCTCTTTGGAGTTCTTCCATTTAATGAAAACTGCTACTAATGTATGTCTTTCTAAAAGCAAAGTGGTGTAATGTGAACTTCTGGAAAGCTTGGGATACCTGTACACCCAAAAGAATTGAAATCAGGGTCTCAAAGATATATGTGTATACCCATGTTCATAACAGCATTAGTCACAACAGTCAAAATGTGGCAGTGACCCAAGAGTCCATTGACAGAGGAATGGACGAACAAAATGTTGCAAATGAGTACGATGGAATATTATCCAGCCTTGAAAAGGAAGGAAATTCTGATACACTTCACTACACAGATGAAAGTTGAGGACATTGTACTAAGTGAATAAGCTAGTCACATAAAGACAAATATTGTGTGATTACCCTTGTGTAAGTACCTAGAACAGTCAAATTCATAAAGCAGAAGGGGATTACCAGGTCTTGGAGGAGAATGGAGGGTTGTCATTTAATTGATACAGAATTTTAGTTTTGCAAGATGAAAAGAGTTTTGGGGACTGGTAGCACAACAATGAGAATGTTATTAACACAGCTGAGCTGTATATATTTAAGAATGGCTAAGAGGATGATTTTAATGTTCTATGTATTTTACGAGGGAAGTGAGAGACTGAGTTAACATTATGGAGCAAAATGGTAGTGATGGTCATGGCCAGGAACAGGGTTCTCCCAACCAGGACAGGCATTAGAGTGAGACCCTCATCAGTCCACACCAGGGCTGGTGGTCAGTGGTCAGTTTCATTGGCCAAGCTGTGGCCTCACCTTCCAGAGTCGGCAAATGAAGAAGGTACCTGTGTGTATGAAAAAGTAGAAATTTCATTTATTTTCTCTACAGAGGTAGATAAGACCAATTACAGCAGCAAATCCAACTGAGCAGTAATCTGGGCTTTGCATACCATCACCTTCAGTTCTTACAGCAATCCAGTTAAGTAGGTATTATTGTCTTCGGTTTACAGGTGGGGGAACCAAGGTTCAGGGACTTGAGTAAGAATTGAATGAGCTGTTTAATTAGTCAGCTAGTGCTGGGCACATAGCTTCAACAGTGATGATGGTGTGTGCTAGGCACGGGTGGACCTGGAGCTTCGCTCTGGTCTCTGGGCACCCCCAGGATCATTGAGGAGACATATATAGTCAGGGGCTCAAAGCATAGCCTAGAGCTTAAAGGACCAGGCATTGCAGAGACTCAGGATTTCATGAAAAGGAGGTGGCACTCAGTTACACGAAAGGGGGCAGATAAGAGGGCTGCAGCTCTAGGGTGCAGGAGGTAAACAGTAGATTTAGGTGGAGAAACAGTATTCAGTAGCAGGGGTAAGGGGGAAATGCAGTGAGAAACAAGATTCCTGATGTGGGTAAAAGGTCCCTGGGCTGGGGAGAATGGGTGTAGTCATTGCTATTGTAAGCTCATTTAAATTTACATAATAACAGCTAATATTTATGAAGCCCTGATTGTGTGCCAGGCACTGTTCTAAGATCTTTACATACAATAATGTGTTAAATTCTCACAGCAATTCCATGAGGCAAGCTGTATTCATGATATTCATTTTAAAGACGAAGAAAGTAAGACAAAGTGACCTAGTCCACCATCACAAAGCCAGCAGAGGGGGATAGAGCTGAGATTCAAACCCAGTATGACTCCAGAACCCAAACCCGATGCCGAAGCCCACTCTATGTGGTTGGTGATATGGAGTAGTTATCTAATTAAGATCACTTATATTTAGTCATAGGCATGATTTCCAGTCTTGTTCAGTCAGAAATTAGTATTATGAGATTTGCACATTGTATATATCCTAGATGCTTACAAAAAGCCTGTAGAAGAATGCGAGGAGCTGTAAAGGGAGGAGGGCTTAGGTTGGGTAGTGATGCTAAATGCTGTTTTGACAATAAATCATGACTTTGCCCCTGCGGGTCCTGTATTCACCATGCAGGTGGCAGTGATCATGAGAGGAACTCACAGGGATCCTAAATGCCAGGAGGTATTTTTAAGGGACAGAAACCCAACTCAACCAGCTTAAGCAAAGAAGAAAGTCTGTCAGCTCACCAAACAAGCTTCAGGAATGGCTTGGAGAGGAGTCACCTAGAAACACACACACTGTCCTCAGAGACCTTACCAAGCATCAGTCTGTAATTAAGGCCCCATACTAACCTTACATACTCTTTCTTAAAATTTAGCCAAAGGCCGTCTGTACCAGAACCACTTAGAGGGGTGAAGTGGAGGAGCATATTAAAAACGTACATGTCTGGAAGGGATTTTACACCTACTAAATCAGATTCTCTGGAGATGTGGCCCAGAAATCTGCATGCAAAACAAACTTCCCAGGTGACTCTGAATTTCAGAATTCGAGAGCTATGGCCTAGGTTCCCACAACAGCAACAGTGTGTCATGTGATCTGTTTCTTTGCCATACTATCTCATGGAACCATGCTCCTGTCCTAATAGCTCACTGAGTAGTTACCCAAAAGTGTGGTCGCCTGACTGACGCCGTTTTCGTCACTGAACTGTAGGCTTCAGAGAGCAGGAACTACATTTGTTGGTACAATGAATGCCCTCATCATATCCGCATTGACTAAACTCAGTGTCTGGTGCCTGGTGAGTGCTCAATAAACACTTACTGAATGAGTGAATATAATGAACCCATAATATATGAATATTATGGTGGCAGAGTATTGTCACATACTTTTCTCATTTAATCCATTCAACAACCTCCCACATGAGGTCTGTAGACTAAACATTATTTCATTTTTCAGGAAGAAAACTGAAACCTAGAGAGAGATTGACTTGCTCAAGTCACGTACACAGTAAGTGGTCTCCTACCTCCCATTCTGGGGTCTTCTGAGGCTCATTCACACAGAGTGGCACAGGGTCCAGTGAAATTGCCAGGTCATTAGATGGATGTCCCCAGGGAGGCAGAGGTGGCACACACAGCCGCATTCCCCAGCTGGTCCCAGGCCTCTGTCCTTGGCACTCCAGTGAGGGGGCAGGTGAGGGCTGGCTCAGTCCTCTCACCTCCCCGGGGCCTGGTTTCCTCATCTGTAAGGAAGGAAGGCCAGGAGAACCAATCCCTGTCCCCACTCTACAAACTGAGGAGCATATCCAACCAGGCAGGTGGGACCCCCACCCCCACCCCGCCCTCTTTCCCCTCCTTGCCTACCAGGTTCATACACTCACCGGACTAGCCACTGTGCTGCAGAGAGGGACAGGGTAACAGAAACGCTGTTGAATCATTTATTCAACAAATATTTACTGAGCACCTCTGCAGGCCCTACTGACAGGAGGAGATGAGCTCCCACTTGCTGAGCCCAGACTCCTAAAAGGGGGACAGGCAGGGACCTGCACAGCACAGTGTGGCGGCCCCTCGCTTGCAGCTCAGGCAGACAGCCCTGGTCTCTTCTCGGCGGAATGGAAGCTGCGGTACCATGCCTAGGGCTGGCTGGGCTGGGGCTTGGGGTAAGGCTGTATTTGGCCCTCCCCCCCTCTTGTAGAAGTCTGGCTTGTTTCTCAGCCTTCCTGTTAAGAGACTTTCACAACTTGAAAGTTGTAGGCATGGACTGAAGTCTGTGAACAGAGACCTGGCAGGATGGATTGAGAATTCTGGGGACGTCCCAGTTTCTGGCAAGATATGTAGACTAGTAGCTTCAACAGTTTGCAGAAGTTTAGGTAATTATAAACTCTCTTGTTCCCTGGCTATAGAAATCCCACTCCTGAATTTCTTCAAAAGCAGGCTGCTGAGCGTTGTCCCATGAAAAGGAAAGCTTTCTTTGTTAAATCTTTTAATCCTACTGCCTCTCATCTTGTCCACTCTCCCACATTCCCATAGATTCCTGGGGAGCCCTCTCTCTGTTCTGATACAGATTTGTCCAGCTGGAACCAGTTCAGGTTCAGAAACAATTGGAAAATTATGGGCTGGACTGGCTGCTGTCATCTCTCCAAAGACAAAGGCTTAACAAGGCAGAGCCTGGTGTCAGAAATGAGGTTCAACATCTGGAGGCAGAAACCCCATGGGCTGTTCCTGGGGGCTGTTGGCTGAGACCCAGTCCTAACTCTTAGTTGTTCCAGGGGCTGGCCTGTCTGACTCCAGACCCTTGCGTGCCCACTGCATGATGACCTCGTGGGTGCCCCCGAGAGCGACCCTTGATTGTCTCAGGCCAACATCCTCAGGTGCCTGTGGTCTCCCTGCCCTGATGCCAGGGCCCTGCATACAAAACCCTGGTTTCACCATTCCCCAGCTATAGATGTGGGGCTCTATGAAAGTAAGGACAACATCTATGTTGTAGAATTATTGTGAGGTTTAAATTAGATAACAAATGTAAAGCACACGGTAGATGATTGGCAGCTGTGGGACTAATTCTTTCTGTCTTCCAGGTAGTCTGACACTCAAGCTGTCAATTAAATTATTATTGAGTATCTACTCTATGCCTAATGCTATGTTAAGACCCCTGAGAAATACACTAGAGATGTCCTCCATGTGGTTCCACCACCAAATCAGTCAAGTAATCAGAAAACAGGTTTTATGGGGCTTATTCTAGGCCTACTATTATGCTAGGAAAAGTGATAAATTACAATATGCATGATGCATGACACCCCCTTCCCATGAGACTCTAACACTGGGAAGAAAACATACACAGGAGAAGTTAAATTATAAAATAAGACCTGACAATGCTGAAAGAACATATACAAAACCACATGATGTGCGCAGTTCCTGCTAAGTGGGATGGATGGTCTAGCAGAGTAGAGGGTACCTCAGAATAGACATTTAGGAATCAGGAGGCCACATGGAGAGAAGAAAGGGGTACTGGGGACCCCCAGTTACATTAATGGGGTTTTGGTTGTTGGGGTCAAGAGAAGAGGCTAAACCACATGGTGTAGATCAAAAGCCATGGGGTCTATGGATTGGGTGCGACAATGTCCCCTGCCCCTTTACTGCTGGGCAACATGGAGCAAGTGACTCACCTCTTCTAAGTCTCATTTTCTGCAAGCAGGAATAATAGTTTCTTCCTCGGGGTGTTGTAAAGACTGAATGAGATATTTTCATATATACATATCAATGACATAGCATCACTTCATATCAATATGTTAGCATTTATCATTATTAATAACATAAAGAGAAGTTGTGGTATAATTTCTGGAGGGAAAGCAGCCCATCTGAAGCCTTGAAAGTCTTCTTGTTTGCTAAAAAAAAAGGTGATGATGGCTAGTATGAAAATTAGATTTGTGAAAATTAGTTTTCATATTTTATTTGCTTATATATTTGATCTGGGAATATAAACCTCCAACCACTCAAAAAAGGAAAGCTTTGTTTCATTTGTCTCAAAACCCATTTCTCCCATCCACCCTTAGACACGGTGCCTTGAGGATGCTGGGCAAATACATGCGCACATACTGGGTCTGCAAGATGGGGCCATGTAGGCTGTGCTGGCCTTCTCAACCCAGCCAGTCCCTGCCTGGGACCTGGCTCTTGGGGTGTGATTTCAGTTCTTCTAGCTCTTCTCTTGGCAAGGGGCTCAAAGAACTTAAAGCAGTTGTCCACTGTCCATGGTAAGTGGGAATGAGATTAGCAAGAATACGTGAAATCCACACTGCACCCAACCCGCTTCTTAAACCCTGCACTGTGGTTGCCAACAGGCCTGAACACTGACTGATCTTGAGTCCTCCACCTATTCCTGCTCTGCGGGTGTGTGATGAGGACAGCCAAAAGGTAGCTGGACAGAAAGCGGGGGTAAAGAGGGGGAGGACGAAGACGTACAGATCGAACCATTAATCTATGAATTATTGAGAGTTGATTCTATTTAAAAACCAACTTTGATAATGGTTTGGCCAAAGCTGGGGCCCAGAAGGCTCCGTTCTAGCCTTGTCATGGTAACCGTGGGGCCAAAAGCCAGGCCTGCCCAGTGCTTTTCTAAAAGGCAACAGCTGCTGCCATCATTAGCTAAAGGAAGGTGTTTTAGGGCAGCAGCCCCGACGCAGTCCTTCAGCCATATCACCGTAAGGAGAGAAAGACTCTGAGCCCAGCACCTACGTAGCCCAAAGGACTGTGGTCTTCCACCTATTCAATCTGCCAGCACAGGGAGGGACAAGTGAAGTGGGCCTTTGGCTTAAAGGCCCTGAATTTGGGAGCCTCTGGAAGGGCCTTTGTAGCTTCCTTCAGTTTTCCTTTTGATCCTGTTTGATAGACTTCCACGGGAATTAAGATCAGGGCAGGGACGGTATTTGCCTCAGGTAGAGACTCGCCTCCTCTGCCATGTTGGCACTAAGCCCCCCATTGTGAGTGAACCAGAAAGCTGGGTCACACTCATTTTTGCATCCGTGGGGGTGGCAAGTTGGGTCTGTCTGCAAACTCAACCTGCTGATTCACTAACTAAGGAGCTGCTGGCTTCCTCATCTGTGGTATCACCTCATTCACCAGAAAGAGGCAGTCGGGGGTTTGCAGGAGGCAGGCTGGGACCCTATTTAAGCTTAGACCCTTGCGCATCATTGATCACCTGAGTTTCAGTTCCCCCTTCCATGAAAGAAAGGTAAAAATGTTTCCACTCAGAATTGTTGGGAGGAATAAATAACATGAAAATTCTTATGGTGTCCAGCACCAGGCCTGACAGACATCAGTCAGTAGAACTGCTTTCCCCCTCACATACCTGACAATGCCAGCATTTGTAGTCTCTTGGCAAGGGAAGTGATCACATCTGAGTCGAAGACCCCAGGTGGGAGCTGCTGTTGTCCTGACCGTGGGTGGCGATTTGCTGCTCTTTATTGTTCTTCAAACTGGCGGACTCCTGATAGTCAAGGTCTTCAGGGCTTTCACCTTGAAGGACAAGAACACATCTCTGTATGTGAAAAAGGGCCACTCAAATTCACGACCAGGGAAAACATGGGAAGCTGCAAAGCATCATGGGGACCTACAGGCTACTACTCTGAAGGTCACACCGTGGAAACAGGGGTAAGACAGCGGTTTGCTCAGTCAGCAGGAGCACCACGCCAAACAAGGCTCAAGGGTCCCCCCGGCATGGAGAGCGTCCACTCCAGTCAGCTCCCCAGCTGATTCTTGAAGAGCCTGGAATGCAGAGGAAACCTGTTACATGAGGTGATGGGCATGAATAGGTGTACAGGTTTGAGAGGGAAAGTCCCTCAGCCTGATGGACAATGAGGAGAAGACGCTGAAAAGAGCTATTCAGGGCTGGCAGCAAGGAAGTCTCCCACTTCCCTGATTTACCTGAAGTATCGTTTAATTCTTCAGACATCTGGCTTTGGTAGTTGTGGACCTCAGCCAAGAAGAGGCAGAGATGGAGCAGCGGATATTGCCGAGAACGCTGTGGGAGGAAGCCCTGGTCCCCCAGGCTGCAAAAGGGCCGTATCAGGAGCTGTCCTTCCTGAAAGGTGGAGTCAGATGGGCGAGTCAGGGATCCTCGCACAATGCCCAGTCCCCCAACCCCGTTCCCCAAGTTCCTGGGGAGGAGGCAGCCCTTCCTCAGACCAGCCCCCCATGGCCCGCTGTCTGTCTCCCCAGGAGCCAAAGGGAATGAACTCATTTCCAGAACTGAGAAGTGGCTCTGACCCCAGCTGGTCAGTTACTGATGGAGTTGGGAAGTGGAAGCCAGGCAGGGCAATGGGCTGGCGTCAGGCCAGCCTCACGCTGGGCAAATCTGCTGACTCATCTCCCTCTTCTCCACAAGCCCTGGTTGTTGGCAAGCAGGAAGCCGCTCCCAGGAGGCTGATGGCTGGTGGCGTGGGCCACCTGGCAGGGTCTAACAAAGTGTTGCGGGGCGCAGAAGCCATCACCCACCTGCCACCCTGTCCCAGATTCCACGAACTGCCCAGGTGCCCACCCAAGGACTGCAGGGCTTCTGTCACAGGAGGGAATGTTACAGCAAGAAGAACGTCCTGCTTTGTATGAGAAAATTGGATAACGTGAATACTCTTCAAAAATTATATTTGGTATATGGTAAAGCTTAGTGGCTTCTTGAGAAAAAAGTCACCCTTTAGGGTTTGAATAAACACAGTCTAAAGAATAAAACAAACATGGACCATAATCCACTCTCCCCCACCCCCAGATAATATCTGTAGACAGTTAACAAATAAAAGTACTAGCTTAGCTAATATGTATGTACAAAAGGTACAAAATGACAAGTGAAAACTTCTACCCCCTTACTTATTCTTCTCCCAAAGGCACCACTTTAAAGTGTCTTCTTTTTTTCCCAGCGGGAAAAAGTTTATGTATATACCTACATATCTGTTTGGCTTAAATATTTCTATGTCCTCAGGATTGCACCCCTCCATGGGGAGCCAACGCCACTGTACTTTAGGGTGCCACGAGCACCAGTGTGAACAGCGCCCTCCAGAGTCATGGAACGTGGCAAGCTGTTGTTTCCACTGCATAATATATCCCAGAGCCCTTCTCAGATCAGCACATAAATTCATGTCGTTTTTAAGAATCTGACTTTATAGATCCCATCATTTGGATGGACAATGTGTCCTTTTTTCCCCCACTTGCAAAAATGCTCCAATCAATATCTTATGCAGCTCTCCTAGTGAACTTTTGTGAGTGTCCACACAATACATGCTGATCAGTAGGATTCCTAAGCCAGTGGGTACATACATTTAATTTTATCGATATTACCTAATCAGTAACTTCATTTTAAATAACAGCTACTCCAAGGAGCAAGAGTTTCCCTGATCTAATTCTGCCCAGAAGTAAGGGGAAAAGGGTTCACCTGACATTGAACAGGAACCCTGTATTACTACGAGCAGGGCTGAATGGGTGTACATACAAAGAGGTGAACTGGATGAAGGAGACAATAATTATGTGGAATTTTAGGGCTGTCATTCTAACCACTGATAAGGAAAAAGGTGGACAAAGGGATATAGAGGCCTGCATTTAGAGTCACCGAGCAGCCCAGAGACACCGTGGGAGTTCACCTCAGGCTGGAGACTTTACAATATTTACTGGGATTTTCTCAGAGGCTCCATGGTTCAATGTGTGTTTCAGTTGCCTACTGCAGCTTTCTGTAACAATTTATTGCTCTTTCTCTTGGTTCTGTGGGTTGACTAGGAGCAGCTGGGTGGTTCTTGCCTGGGGTCTCCCATGTAGTGACAGTCACATGTGGGCTATTGTTTCAATTGGAATTGCCCAAAGGAATTTGTGATTTTTTTTGTAGCTTCCAGTAAATTACTGTCCTCTTAAAGAGAGAAGGACAGAGACTTGGCCATTAATCTTTCGGTCACAAGAGACAGGCACCCAATTCGAACTGACTTGGAGGAAAAGAGGGATTTTTTTGACTCCCGTAACTTAAATGTCCAGAGTATTTCAGGAATAGGTAGGTCCATTAAACATTGTTAAAAGAATGATATTAGGAATCTATTTCTCTCCATTTCTCAAATTCACCTTTCACTCTGTTGACTTGATTCTCAAACAATGCCGTCAGGTTTAAGAGGAGCACACTCAAGAGAAAGAACCCTTCTTTCCCTCGGTGGTTTCAGCACCACCCTAAGGCTGCTGTGCACTGACTTGAGTCACAGACCTGTCCCTGAACAATCACCATGGCCAGGGAAGGGAGCCCAGTGCCCGGGTCTTAGGCAACCTCTGGGTCTAGACAGTAGGATAAGACTTGCCAAATCACATGAACTGAGACTGAGGGTGAGGTGAGTGTCACTTCATTTCCTTAAAATGGAAGTGGAGAAAGGGAGCCATTGGAGGCCATGGACTCCAATCCCTGACCCAGTGATGGAAGCCCCTCCATGCCCCCTCGGGAAATACTTAGACAGTATCAGGGTGAGGAAGCTTGCCCTGTGCCTTTGAAAGCAATCGATTCCATTATTAGGCAGCTCTACATGCAAGTCATTATAAAGTAAAATGAATACTAGCACTTTAAGTGACCCTGTGTGTCTGGCACTGGGCAATATATTTTATAATTTCTTCTCATAATATTCCTGTGAAATGAGTAACTATTGTTAGCTACACCTTACACAGGAGGAAGTTAAGCCTAAAAGACATTGAGTAGCTCAGATATTGAGTAGCTCAAGAACAAACTCTTCATGGAAACCTCGAAACTATGAAAGCCTCCTCCCCTGTGATTTTTACCCACTGGTAGTACTTGGGGCCTTTTGCAGTTGGTCAGGTAAGTTCTGCACTGACATGACTATGGCATCCCTCCTGAGGTTTCGGTCTTCTCAGGAGGGCATCCCTAGCACCTCTTAACTATCGCGTGCCCTGTCCTCGCCGGCAAGAACAGCATGCAACAACAGCAGGATTCTTCTGCAGAAAGCTTTATTCTTCAGCTCTTTGTGAAACAAATGAGTTGGG